GCAGTCCCTGTTTTTCTGCACTTTTTGGCCTTGGGGCAGCTGGGAACTGTAGGCCAGCAGATGAGGAAGCCCCATTCAATCCAGTGAGTGATACCCCTGCAGGTCCCTCTCTGGAACTACAGCTCAATTAAACCTTATGGGGGAACATTTTAAACAAACAACCACAGCCATCTTACAAACACACAGGGGTCATTTCGTAGAAAAAGAGCTAGGGGAACTCATTAGCATAACACATTAGCATATGCCACACCCCCTGACATCAGGGGCCCGGCGGTGGACCTGCAAGGCCAGCAGGAGTGCGAGGAAGCCCCGCCAAGGCCCTCCCTGGCCCCAGGCAGGCAGGGGTGGGGATAGGCGGGGAGGAAGCAACTTACCCTCCCTCTTCTCCTGCCTCCTCCTGGCTGAATGAGGGCTGGAAGCGGGGCGGCCGGAAGCAGGGGGCGGGGCTTCATCATGTGCCCCGCCCCCCGTACCTCACCCGGGGGAACTGTGTTCCCCCGCGTTCCCCCCACAAAATGACCTCTGCAAGCACAGTTAACTGCCATTTCGTTACACCTACCAACAGCCACTGAGGGAACAGTTAGTCCCACAAAGGAAAAGCGTCTTTGTCAAGAGAGAAAGCCGTTTGCCAGTAATTCTGACAGAGCACAGTGGCTGAAGGGGGAGTGGGCAGGAAAGAGGAGCAGACCCAGCACACGGCCAATGGCACGCGAGTACTCAGGAGTGGCAGCTGACAGGCCAATGGCTGAGGAAGAGCATGGAATCTTGCCACCCCAAAACAAGAATATAATATAGAAGAGATAGTAGTATAAAACATAATTTCGCAAGCAAATTCAAACTGTAATTGCCTGTGTGAGAATTTACCATACAGAATCATTTTTAGTTCAGGTTTATCAGTGAAGGAGCTGTACAAATACAATAGAATAATTGCTGTTCAGTAGTAGGAATTAAGCATCAAATTAATGTGTGGCACCATTTATTCTGTTTTTAATTTTTTTTCCTTTCCAGATGGGCAGCCCTTTTAGTCTGCAGAAGAAAACTGAAGCAGGAGTCCAGTAGCATGTTAAAAGCTAAATGTTGTTAGTCTTGAAGGCAGTTGCATCTGGGCTCCTGTTTTATTTTAATATTTTTGCTATTTTTAAAAAAATCTAAAATTCTTTGCTGTCTCACCCTATCCAAATTTGATATCAGCTTTCCAAACATTGCACATTAATTCAGAACTGAACATTTAAATGCCACTACAAATTATTTCAACATTCACATTCTATTATTATATTATTATAATTATGGTTATTATTATTTGAGTGAAGGTTTTCCCTGAATTTGTTTCAGCTGTGATTTCCTTCCCACTTTTCCCTCCTAGGCCTCTCCCAGGCTCCTTGTCATCATTACTGCACCTGCACAACCGGCAAAGACAGCCCATGCCTGCGTCTATGCCTGGTACCCTCCCTAATCCCACCATGCCTGGATCCTCTGCAGTTCTGATGCCAGTAAGTATACCTGTTCATTGTGTTATCTTATTAGAGACATACTCGGGTTCTTTTATCAAATGTGGGAAATCAAATAATGCTCAAATTTCAAATGAGAAGCCTCCCTCCCCCATTACAATTTCACTGCAGTGAAATTTGTGATGTCTGAGACCGAAAAGCTGCTTTGGGCTTGCCTTGTGCTGGCCCCCTGGAATTTTCGACTTTGAACAGCTGACCTTCATGCCGTGTCACAAATTGCTTCTGACAGTCCCCTCAGTTTCAGAGGCAGATTGCCATGCAACATGGGTGGCTACTCTTTGAGAAAAAACAAGTCTAGATCTCTAATTAACTCCACGCGTCCTGGAGCCAAATCCCTCATTTAGGTGGTTCGATGACATTCAAGTCCTTATGCCTTAACAAAGTGGTGTAATCATAACTTTACGTTGCTGGAGGAAATTAAAGATATACCAAGACACATGAGCTGCCTGAGGAATGGAAGGTCTTTGGCCCAGTTGGATAAGGGGTTGGGCCTTTGGATATTCCAGCCAGAGCTAAAACAAATTTAACATATGTTATTGAAGGCTAAACAAATTTAACATATGTTATTGAAGCTGCGGTGGCTCAAGTGGTTAAGACGCTGAACTGCAGGCTGTGGAAAGTCAGTAGTTCAGCAGTTCGAGACCTGGGTGCCGCAAGACGGAGTGAGCTCCCGTCTCTAGTTCCAGTTCCTGCCAACCTAGCAGTTTGAAAGCAAGAAATTGCAAGTAGATAAATAGGGACCACTTTGGTGGGAAGGTAACAGCGTTCCATGCGCCTTGGTGTTTAGTCATGCCGGCCACATGACCACGGAAACGTCTTCGGACAGCGCTGGCTCTTCGGCTTTGAAACGGAGATGAGCACCGCAACCCTAGAGTCGGATTCGACTGGCTTTCGAGCAAGGGAAACCTTTACCTTTACCTATTGAAGGCTTTCACAGTCGGAGTTCACTAGTTGCTGTAGATTTTCCAGGTTGTGTGGCCGTGGTCTTGGCCTTGTAGAACCTGATGTTTTGCCAGTAACTGTGACTGGCATCCTCAGAGGTATAACACAGAAAAATGGAGTACTCTCTGTGTCAAGGTGTGTCAAGGTACCTTGACACAGAGAGTATTCCATCTTTCTGTGTTATACCTCTGAGGATGCCAGTCACAGTTACTGGCAAAACGTCAGGTTCTACAATGCCAAGACCACGGCCACACAACCTGGAAAATCTACAGCAACTAGTAAATTTCACATACATTGACCAAATAGGGTTTTTTAAAGAATTTTTGCAGTTTTCACTTTTTCAGATTTCACTTTTGAAATCAGTTTTTTTAAATTTAAACCGTTTTGACTTAAATGGTGAATTTTAAAGCAGTAATAGTAAGTATCAGCCCTGACCCAGAATACCCAGGCTAGTCTGATCTTGCCAGATCTCAGAAGCTAAGAAGGATCCACCCTGGCTAGTATTTGGATGTGAGACCTCCAAGGAATACCAGGTTTGTAAAGTGGAGGCAGGCAGTGGCAAACTACCTCTTAATGTCACTTGCCTTGGATACACTGCTGGGTTTCCATAAGTCAGCTGTGACTTGACGGCACAAAAAAAGAAGCAGCAAGTATCACATAATCAAATTCAATCATTTTTTAGGAACACAACAGCAAATTTTAAAATTAGCAAAATAGCCATTTGAATTTACAGGCAAATTTATAGAATAAGCCTGAGAATTCCATTTACCAGACTGTCTCGGTTCTAATTTCATTTCCCACCTCTGTGCATATCTCCTCGCTCTAATCAAGCGGCTACGTTTTGCATTGTGCCTCTGCATCCTGACTCCCAACTGGCTCTTCGTTGTAACACCCATTGCACCCCCTGAATGTAATAGTTGATGGATATCCATCCTCATTTATATCTGACAAAGTGACCATTAACTCATGAAACCTTATACCCTGGAAATTTTTGTTGGCCTTTAGAGTGCTACTGGACTCAAATTTTGGCCTACTGCTACAGACTAAAAAGGTCACCCACTTGAAGAGTTCAAGCATCACTTTTTGCATAATACATTAAGCCCCACTGAGACCAGTTAGTTTGCCTGAGAATGATCAGGTGTACTCCCCATCCTGGATGTGACTATCCCTTCCATAGTCCCCCCAAGAAGGCAGACCTGCCATTTACATCTGTAGCACCTAATCCAGTGATGCTTCCTATCTTACCTTTTGCTCCAAGCAAGTATATAAAGACTCCTGTGCCAGGTAGGCATGCTGTGAACTTCTGCACAAACATGATCACTAGGTGAACTTACTGTGTCCAAACTCCCTTGATTACACATAAGGTGAACTCCTGATGACACTGCCTTTATGTTCCAAGGCAGACTTTGTATTATGAGAAGTTTTTTGGGTGTGAAATAGACACTTGTGCTACAGGGTCAGGTTGTTACTACCTGCAGATGCTTTTGCTCAGTCCAAGAACGAAATATTCCCAGTTACCATAGAACAAGCACCTATTCCAGAGGTGGCCAAACTTGCTTAATGTAAGAGCCACATAGAATAAACATCAGATGTTTGAGAGCCGCAAGACATGAACAATATTACATGTTTTTATTGGGAAATATGCAAATTTGCTTTTTATTAATATTAAATGAGACTGCCAAAATAATAACAAAAGCGGTAAAATCAGATATTGATAATTATATTTATTTGTCCAATGATATTTGTTTGCTAATGATATTTAGCTTCCCCAGCCACCCTGCTGGGAGCCGCACAATATGTGTGAAAGAGCTGCATGTGGTTCCCAAGCCACAGTTTGGCTACCCCTGACCTATTTCCTGGTGTCATGGTTTCTGACCAACTTGTATAAAGCATGGATTTGCTTACCATTCATCTGCTGTTGGCACCTGAACAGTTGGATACTTCCTTTAAATGAGCAACATCCACTAGACTGTTGCCTTTTTTTTTTTTTGCATCTGTATAGTTGGAAGCATCTGTTTGCAAAGTGATTATAAGAACTCATTGTCCTATTATCTGGGCAGACACCAAAGACACACAGAGACCCCTAAATAGTCAGTCCTGACTCAAAAATCTCTAACTTTTTTCTTTTTTACTGTGTGCCTTTTTACTGTGTAGAAGCAACTGAGTGGCATGGTAGCTGGGGCTGCAAAGAAGCCATGTAATCATGCAAGAAAACTGAAATATATAGTTTGCTCAGGCGCATCTTAACAGCTTGCCAAATGAGCAGGAAGCAAGCCATATTTGAGCAGGCCCAGTGTTTGAGCATAATTGCTTTCAATCAGCTGGCTTTGCACTGCCCCCTGTAAACCAGTTACCCTGAAAAGTTTTCTCAATTGCCAGTGGGAGGGCTGGACTTCCATATTGTTCCACTAAAAATACTACAATACTGTTTTGGTAAACAATTCTTTTGTATTTGTCATGCAAATTGTAGGAACCTCTCTGTTGTTTATTCCTTGCATTGGCAGTGTGTTAATAAAGCTGTACCACAATAATCTAAGGCATGTGATGGGAAAATATTCCCCAGATTCAACAAGCCCAGTAGAAAATTCCACAGTTTTCAAACACTCTAAATCATGCATTTTTTCTGTCTTAAACAAATTCTGCCAACAACAGCATAGCCATAATTTTATAAAGTGCTGCTTTAAAAGCCACTTAACCTGAAGTTGTTTTCTACGAGGAATGGGAAGTCATTATGGAAAAACCCAGGTAGCTAATTGTTCTTTTGATGAAGAGGCTTTTATTGATTGTTGGATAAAATGTCATTAGTGGCTACATATTATCATACCAGACAACTATTCAAAAAAGTTTTTAGTTACCACATTGGATGAGCACAAAGAGCCCGTCTTTTACCCACTGGAGAAAAAGCAGCATATGTGCAATCTGAAATGTGTTCTTCCTTTCAAATACCATTTGATTTTCCCCTCTCCTTTTTTTCTCTTTCAAGATGGAGCGCCAAATGTCAATGAATTCCAGTATCATGGGGATGCAAGGCCCAAACCTCAGTAATCCATGTGCTTCATCACAAGTCCCTCCAATGCATTCAGAAGCCAAAATGGTAACATGTTGAAAACATATTTATATCTTATAATTTTGCTTTTTAAAAAAAAAAGACATATCAGGTGGTATACTGGCCTCTGAGCATGAGCAGAGTGTCTCATTTCTCATAATGTGACTGAACGTCTGCTGTGAAGAGGTTTTAGAGGCTGACAGGGTCAGCTGAGTCTACTTAGTTTCCAGGCTTGTAGATCATTGTTGTCTCTTTGGGATACAATTTGATTCAAAGAATGTCAGGGCTCTTAGAGGCATAAGCGTATATTTGAAGATGTTCTGTTGGTACATGTGAAGGTTGGCAATAGACCTTGTCTGTGTGGTGTCTGTTTTTATGCATGAGGGATTGGTTTATAACTATATATGTGATATAAACATATAGCTGCGTTTCATGAAAAGTAACATTAAAAATAATGTTTAGGATGCTTACAGAAATGGATGAAAAATTCTCAGGCATCTGGTTGCCCGGATGGCTACATTTAAAAAAATATTTAGAGTATTTTTAGTAATTCCTCAAAGTTGTGCATAGTTGGCTTCTAATACTGGATTCCGGAACCTTAGATTTTGATGTTTCCTTTCCAGCTTTTGCTACTCATGCCAAACCCCAGATAGAGTCATAGAATTGGAAAGGGCCATATCAGTTGCCTAATTGAACCATCTGTACATTGTAGAAACTGCAAAGCTAAAGCATTCCCAAACGATGCCTACAGCTGCAACTTCTGCTTGAAAATGCCTCCCCCTCAGAAGTGGTTGCATTCTCGGACTGTTCTTACCATTAGGAGGGTTCTCCTAGGCTGCGATCACACACACTAAATAATCCACTTTCAGTCCACTTTCGATGCACTTTCCAACGGGATTTTTACTGTGTGAACTGGCAAAATCCAATTCAAAAGTGGATTGAAAGTAGATTATGTAGTGTGTGTGATCGCAGCCCTAATGTTCCACTTAAATCTACCCTTGGGTAAATTAAGGCCCTTTGGTATGCTCCTGCCCTGTGGAGCGGCAGAGAGCAAGTCTTTGTCCTCTTCCATATAATAGCCCTTCAAATATGTGGAGAGCATGGCAGCATGATCATCGTTCCTCTTCCTAAACATACACAGTTTTTTCAGCCTTTCTTTGTAAGTCTTGGTTTACATATACATTTCTGTTGTATGCATACATGAATGCTTAGATTCTCTCTCTCTCTCTCTCTCAACATTGGTGGTTTTCATATACAATACTATACAGGAAAGTTAAACTATAGTGATTTTCTTGATGTTTTTAGGGTGAAACTGATACACAAATTGTTTTTTGAACATTCTGACTCTACCCTTCAGAGCACAGAATAGCTTAGTTCAGTCAGGGAAAATACCCCAATGTGAAACAGCATCAGTGCACGAGAAATGCAAAGCTGCCTAGACTCTCATATTGTCACCACATGCGTCTAACTTCTTGTTGCTGATTTAAATAAAAAAAGCCACAGTGTGTACTTTTGAAGTTGCTGTCTTTCACTGGGGAGGGGGGGAGTGAAGCCTTTGTGCCCAATAGATGCACTACATGCAACAGACACTATACGGTAGACATGAAAGCTCACATCTTTACCTCAAATATAAATTTTGGTTAAGCAGCCAGCCCAAGGCTTTTTAACACCTCAGCTAAAACCACACTCTGTAAATATGCAGTTGGTTGGCTTAAAGAGCAGATGTAGCCAACAGGGTTGGCAACATCAGCCAAGCAAAATCTGTGGTCAAGGGTTCTCTTTCTGCTGTGTGCCATACAGTAATTGCGATGTGCCAAATAGCAACAGCATCTGCAGCACAGCTTATTAAATCTTTCTGGATTAGGCTGCCGGCAAAAGTGTGTGTGTGTGTGTGTTTCAAACCCAAGCACCATTGAGCCAAGCAAAATACTCCTTGGCTTGGGGAAAGAAAAAAAACACACCACTCTGGCATCTATTTCAGAGACTAAAGTTTCTGCTGTTTCCTTGCCTTTTCCCACCCATTTTTAATGGAACACCGAGGCTTTATAAAAAAATGAAATTATTGATACATATGGTGAGAATTCTGGTTTTTTAATATGTGAAATTAAGTGGACCTCATTTTAATCTGAATGCATTTGTTTTGGCTAACACTCGGACTCATGAAGGTGTTGCTTTGGCAAGGCTTGTCCTTAGGAGACACTACCAAAGACCAGCAAATACAAGGTACCCTTTCTGTACTAGGATTGCCAACCTCTAGGTGGGGCCTGGAGATCTCCTGGAATTACAACTGATCAATAGACAACAGGGCTCAGTTCCTCTGGGGAAAATGGCTGCTTCAGAGGCTGAACTCTGAGGCATTCTGCCCAATGAGGTCCCACCCCTCCCCAAACGTCACCCCCAAGGCTCCACCCCCAAAATCTCCAGGGATTTCCCAACCCATAGTTGGCAACCCAATTTCTGTACATTATGACTAACACATTAGTGCATCATTGAATTGTTTTAACTATTACTTCTATTAATTCTCTAGGTTAATTTCTTTTTATAGAAGCAACAGTTAAAAGAATTCAGTGATGCATTCATTAGTTGTATGTACAATTGGAATGTGACTGCACCTGAATACTTCCACAGTCTTTAAGCGTAATATTTCTGAAAAGCTGTGAACAGTAAACTTTAATTGTTAAAATTCTATAATGATCTGAATTTCCAAAATAACATAGGTTAGTGACTATTGTCTTAGGGAACTTTCCACTGGATCGTGCTTTTTATTGCTTAGGAAATTGATTCCACAAAGACTCCTAATCTGCCATGTTCAAATGGATTAAGTGGGTGTTGATATAAATGGATATACCCTAATAAATTTCCTTTGGGTATGTTTGGACCTCTTCAAATATATGCATTTATTCTTTTCTTTTGACGGTGTTTTATGAGATATAATTGTTTAGTTAACAAATTATTAAAGGTTTCCTTGCTTGAAAGCTAGTCAAATTTGAAACAAAGATCAGTGTAACAGCAGCCCTATATAGTTTGAGTAAATTTAGGATATTTAACAGAAAGAAATAGAAAATGTTATCACTGTAATGCGGCGATATATGAACATCTGTGAGGGTCCCTGTGCCCCCCTGGGGTCAGCCCACCTTCTGCCACTTTCCCAACAGTGCCTCCATTGCTCCCATAGTCTCAAATGTGGTAAGGGAGGGGTTAAGTCACCCTTCCTCCCTCTTCTTCCCCTGAGTTGGCTCTCTTTACAACATCTCTCTGGGCATCTTTGTGAGCCACACCCACATATCCTCCTTGGCTACTTGAGGGAATGCATCCTTTATAGGAAGTTGCCATCACCTCCTCCGAAGGCATAAGGCCAACTGCTCACCTGTCCTTGTTGCCTCCACCTCCCATTTTCCCCATGCTGCCTCCCGTACTCTCCATGTTCAGCCCATCCTCCCCTGCCCCGCCCCGTGCACTCCACACACACACACCCAGGATTGGGGGAAACGGTTGCCAGCTCCAAGTTGGGAAACTCCTGGAGATTTGGGACTAGAGCCTGGAGAGGGCAAGGACCTTGGTGGGGTATAATGCCACAGAATCCATCCTCCAAATCATCCATTTTCTCCAAGGGAACTCATCTCTGTAGTCTAGAGATCATTTGTAAATTCAGGAGATCCTCCGGCCCCACCTGCAGGCTGACATCCCTTGCTACCAAGTCCCAGACCTTTCAGCAGGGCCCACTGCCACTGACCGCCCCCATGCCGCCCATGTGGCTTTCCTGCCATCTGGTTGTGCATGCTGCCCAGCACTAAAAGTGCATGCAGGTGATGCAGGTGGCTGGGAACGCAGGTAGCAAGAGGGCTCACAGGGAATGAGGAAGGTGGCAGGAGGGCACATGGTTGGTAGTGGTGGAGGGCTACACAGAAGGGTGAGCATGTGTGTGTGACCTCCAAAACCTGGACCTGGCTCTGAGTGCAGGAGCTCTGTTGTGCTATCCTGTGTGGTTGCAGTGTGTGTGTACATACAGCAGTCTTGTGGTTTTCTTTCACACATATCAGTACCCTGGGATTTTTTTTTTGAAATGTTCAAGATAATCACTTTTTAGCAAAGCTGCAGTATTTAGGATGCATTCAAACATCAGATTTCGGTATGGTTAAATTTTTAAAAAATGTACAAAAATAATGTTTGCCTTCTTCCCCCTTCTCTTTTTGGGAAGAGCACAATGAAGGAATGAACTGCTGTTACAGAAATGCAGGCATACAGACAGTTTTTGTCCACTAACTAAGATCCTAAACTGAAATCAAACACTGGTTAGAAAATCCCAGTTTGTGAAGGTTAAAACCGCATGCCCATATTTGTACCACATGGGTAACCAGAGTTAATCTTAAATGCCTGTTTCTTCATTGTGAGGCCAGTTTAAGCTGAGTTAATGCACATAGCTATTCAATTGTAGTTAAATTGGATGTCAGAATGCAACATCAATCAATAATTCAGTAAAATTAATCCCTCAAAATTCTTTTTATGATTGAAAATGGTCCTTCTTCCAATGTATTGGACAGTACGTTTTTAAACAATATAAGTCGTTTTCAACAGAAGTTCGTATAAAAACTCTTTGAGGCAGGTATCCTCTTAAACTATCGAATGTGTCATCATCCTTCTGTCCCGCATTCTTAAAATGGTGCATGATGCAACATACGTAGTTATTTACCAAAATCAGTGGGTTGTATCCAGTAATACTTTTCTGCTAACTAATGTGTTTACCTTCAACAGAAGGACAAATTTCCTCTTTTGGTGTCTCTTTTAGTAAGAGGAAGACTATTTCTATTGGATGGGAATCATGGGATTCAACCAAATAATGATTTTATTTTCAGAATTAATGTTTATTCACAGGCTACTTTATTTAGATGTAATTGTTTGATCCATCAGTTATCTAAACAGATTTTTAGGTGAAGGAAATATTTAGTTTTAAGTGATCTGCTAAGGAATTAAAACCCAAATAATCACAGTGCAATCCTAAACAGAGTTATACCCTTCTAAATCCATTGAAGTCAATAGGTTTAGAATGG